TTTTCTCTTTCTTCAATCATGAGCACGGGAATGGAAGAAACAATTTTAGTCAGCATTTATTTACTTTCAGTTGTTCTCTATATCTTTAATGTTTGTCATTGAAAACAGTACTGCATCTGTTCACTAGGGGTAAATTTTCTGCAAAATTCTTGTTGATACTGCGACACACGTGCTGCTAATAGTTTTCTTCAGCTTACCTGGACATGGTTAGGTCAATGATTTCCCAGTTGAGCAACACATTAAAGTAGTCTTTGATAAACTTTTTTGACATTTATATATACAGAGTAAACAAAAAAAAAAGAAAGCTTTTGAATGGAAAAACTTTTCAGGTAAATCTAGAAAGGAATGATAATAAGTCAGGGTCCATTCTTTGTGGCGACAAAATTAATCTGTTTGCATGAATTTCCCCAGTTTTTGATGGATTGCCTGAACATTTCAAGAATGTTTTGAATTTACCACATTCCACTAGTCAAAGTGCTGTATTTTTTGTGATGCTGCTTTTCTTATAAACTACTCTAATTTGAGTAGGCAGTTTTAGAATTGCTTCTTCAATTAAATCTTTGGATATATTACTTTCTTGAGGTTTTTGCTCTATGAGAGCAAACACGTGCTTAATTGTATCTCCAGACATTGTGAGAGTTACTTTTTGGGTAAACTTGGGTAAACCATTTATTTGTACAAGATGATTGATTTTGTTTAAGGTGGCAGTTGTTACACTCTATGAATGTTTAATTTGTGAGTTGTTGAATTTTCTGTTACATTTTCTGCATGAAAAATAAGATGAAACAGTTTCTACACCAACTATTTCTCCATGTAGTCATGTAGTTTTTTCCGAATAGTTTTCCAGGTCTCTTTGTGTTGCTTCATTCCATGCGGTGGTGTATCTGATCCTAAGGGATGTAGAATTTCCCTTGCCCTTAGAGGAGGCTGTGAATAATTGAACCAACATTCTTTGTTTGTGTCTTTTTGGCATGTGTGAAATACCTATGGATTTGTCTGTTCGCAAATGTTTGCAGTTGTGGGTCTTTAGTTTGCCATTTGCAAGTAAGTATCTTATCAATGAAGTTTGTAACTGTAGCATCATCATCAACTCCAAATTTTGGTGCATTTTTTAGCTGTATAGGCATGTGGATGTGAGGAGAGCCATATTGCTGGTATTGTCCTCTATAGAACAGTCAGTCAGTCAGTCAGGTATTGCTCCCAGAGGTTGGGCTGTTTTCAAAAGAAAGTTTGTGAGAAATTGACTTATCTGATAATCAAAATGTCTCGCACTGGTTACTGGGCTTCTTTGAATTAACCTGCATTTCGCATATCCAAGTCATATTTTCTACATCATTATCAGAGCACTGTTTGTTATCAACCAACTGATGTTTCTGCTGAAGGGAAACTACAATAATAATAAATATTTATTGCCTATTAGGCACAAATTAACATGTGAATATGTTTAATTGCACCTTACATTCAAATCTAACCTATCTGTGTACAAAATATAAAATAGCATAGTCCTAAATTAATTAAAAAGCCTCAAAGACTGATAAGAAACAAAAATAGACAGTCTATGACTGCATGTGGCTTACTGTATAGCTCCACTTAAATAAGCGATGACATGACGTCTGACATTTGCAGACGAGAACAAATAGCAGGAAGCTATGGATATGTAGTGTGCAAGTGTGACAGTGATACAGGGGTACATGTCCCACTAATGTTTAATAGGTACCAATCCAAAACATAAGTCAGAAAATAGCCGAGTTGAGTGAAACGCCACGTAATAGTTTTTATTTGAGATGCTTGCAACAATATTATGTATTCGATACTTAAAGGTTTAAACTTTATGTAAATCATCTATCATTTTAGAGAAATCATCAAGCAGAAACTGGTAGGGAACTTGAGAGGATTCGTCCAGAATCATCCTCATTAGGTCTGAATGAAGCATGAGTTTTTGTAACTCTTCTTTTTTGTAACTCTTCATGTGATGTGGAATCAACTCCATTCAGAGTTTTGACTGTTATGTTGCATACTACTTTGGTGGTGCATGTGGAAGACAACATGGTTGTGCTGCAGTGTGGACAAGTAATGAGTTCTGTATCTGTCGCTGTATCCAATGAGTGATTGCATGTGACACATATCTGCTGTTTTTTTATGTGGACTCCAATACATTGTCCCTCAATAATGGTGTCCTTGATTTCATCAGATGTTAAATTGACATTTGTAATTTTATCTTTCTTTTCTATAATGGTGGCTTCACTGGTATTTAAGTACTTCACGTAATCAAAAACTCTAGTTGGAAGACCCTTGAAAAGATAACTTTTACCACAGTCCACTTGGTTGATGACTTCCTCCCACAAAACAAGTTTGATGCTGTGAGTTTGATCGGCTATGATACAATCAACCTTAAAAATCTCTTTTCCATTTCTTAGTATGTGCTGCTTGTTTTACTGCTTGTTCATTTCGTTGGAATGAACATCAACGTTCTTGTAGAGATCTACTGAGAGCTTGTTTTACTGTTAGCAGGGATGAGCCAATCTCAGCATTGTACTCAAAATGTGTTGATGTGGGCGAGATTTTTGCTTGCTTCAGGATTTTATACTGATCCTGATTGTTGGAAAAACTTGTGCTTGAACTCTTCTTGTTGCCATAAATTTTCATAGGTGACTTTTGTTGATATGCTTGTTGCAAGTTGACTCTTTTGGAAGGATCAAAACGGACAGCACGGACCTTTTTGTCTTTGTCTGTCTGAATTAGACAATCGAAATATGGCGTTCTACTATTACAAGCTGTTGTCATTGGACTCA